TGCAGAAGATTTCTCTCAAAACAGGGGGTGAGGTTCTAAGCCTCACCTCTGTTGATCCCCAATTTCTCACCTGATGGCCCCCCTGCAAAAACATGAACTGTTTTTACAGGAGTATTTTATTGATAGTTCAAAATATTTTTTGCTTAGTAAGCATTTGTATTTATTTAGAACAGAATGATTAACTTTGAGTCATTAATTTAAAAAATCCTGGTATACCACTAAGGAAAATAGTAGCCATTGTCTTATTTCAAAAAATGTAGTAGAGGAACTTGTTAAGTAGGTGTTAGGAGACCAAAAAAGCAAAAAGACATTGAGGGAGGTGAAACAGAAGGAAGAGGTTGGGGTTATCAGAACCTTCAAGTTCAAAGCAGGGACTTCACCGAGCTGGTGCCAGTACTTCTGGGGGGGTGCAGTGGGGCTGGTTCTGTCTGTGCGTGCAGAAGACTGGAACCCACTGCAGGGCAGTGCTGATGCAGATAGCAAGCAAGCAAGGAGAGAGTCCCTTCTCCTCCCTCCCACCTTCATTCTAATTTCTTCAGATACATGGGACTGGTAGTGGAACCTAACAGGAAGTCACCTAAGGAGGGAAAAGTGTAGTTTGTACAGTTCTAATCCAGCATCACAAAGGGCACGTGTGGAAGTCAAAGACAGTAGTTCAATGACATACTTAATACTTTGAATGAAATAGAGATTCAGAGAACTGGTACCAAGTTCAGTTAATCAAAAATTTTTTTAATTTTAATGGCAGTCGTAGCTGAAAACAACACCTCTGAGAGTATGATGTACAGCAGGGTGAGCAAACTTTTTCTGTTAAGCATCAGATATTAAATATTTTAAACTTTGCAGGCTGTTAGGTCTCTCTCTCAAATACTTAATTTGCCTTCGTAGCACAAAAACAGCCTTAGATAATATGTAAACGAATGAGTGACTGTGTTCCAATAAAACTTTATAGAAGCAGGCAGTGGCCTGGATTTGGCCCTGGGGCTATAATTTGCAGGCTCCTGATAAAGAACATATGCTTAGAGGGAAATTAACCAGGTGATAGCCCATATGGATTCATGTTTGGCATAACCTTGATACTTTTTAATTTGGGAGACCATTGTTTTAAGGTGTGATTAGATTGATTTTTATAACCTTGCTTGCATAAGAAAGCCTATAAGAGGAAAAGGGGAAGTGTTAGCTCTCCCATTCTCATGTTCACTTATGATTGTATTATTAGTACTATCTTTTATACATAGTTTCTTTATAGGAATCTCTTTTTTAACTAAAGTATCATTGATATATAGTCTTATCATGGTTTCACATATACAACACAATGGTTCCGCATTCACCCATATTATCAAGCACTCACCCGCTCCACTGCAGTCAGTGTCTATCTATGTAGTAAGATATTAATAGAGTCATTAATTGTATTCTCTGTATTGTGCTCGGTGACCTACCTTTGATTGCAAATTATAGTGCCCCTTAATCCCTTTCTCCCTCTCTCCCCTCCCACTATCCCCAACTCCTCTCTTTGGTAACCACTAGTCCCTTCTTGGTGTCTATGAGTCTACTGCTATTTTGTCCTTCTGTTTTGCTTTGTTTTTATACTCTAAAAATGAGTAAAATATTTTGGTATTTGTCTTTCTCCGCCTGGCTTATTTCACTGAGCATTATACCCTCCAGCTCCATCCATGTTGTTGCAAATGATAGGATTTCTTTCTTATGGCTGAATAGTATTCCATTTGTATATGTACCACATCTTTATCTATTCATCTACTGACGGACACTTAGGTTGCTTCCATTTCTTGGCTATTGTAAATAGTGCTGTGATAAACATAGGGGTGCATATGTCTTTTTCAAACTGGGCTCCTGCATTCTTAGGGTAAATTCCTAGGAGTGGAATTCCTGGGTCAAATGCTATTTCTATTTTTAGTATTTTGGGGAACTTCCATACTGCTTTCCACAATGGTTGAACTAGTTCACATTCCCACCAGCAGTGTAGGAGGTTCCCCTTTCTCCACATCCTCACCAGCATTTGTTGTTCCTAGTCTTTTCTATGTTGGCCATCCTAACTGGTGCGAGATGATATCTCATTGTGGTTTATATTTGCATTTCCCTGATAATTAGTGATGTGGAGCATCTTCTCATGTTCCTGTTGGCCATCTAAATTTCTTCTTTGGAGAAGTGTCTGTTCATATCCTCTGCCCATTTTTTAATAGGGTTATTTGCTTTTTGGGTGTTGAGGCATGTGAGTTCTTTATAGATTTTGTGTTAACCTCTTTTTGGATATGTCATTTACAAATATATTCTCCCATACTGTAGGAGGCCTTTTCTGCTAATGGTGTCCTTTGCCATACAGAAGCTTTTTAGTTTGATGTAGTCCCATGTGTTTATTTTTGCTTTTGTTTCCCTTGCCCGAGGACATGTGTTCAGGAAAAAGTTTCCCATGTTTATATTCAGGAGATTTTTGCCTATGTTTTTTGCCGATGTTTTCCTTTTAAATTTTATGGTTTCATGAGTTACATTCAGATGTTTGATCCATTTCAGGTTTAGTCTTGTGTATGGAGTTAGACAATAATGCAGTTTCATTCTCTTACATGTAGTTGTCCTATAGGAATCTTTTTAAGCCACTTACTCATTTTTGTATGCCTTTAGTAGTTAAAAATTTATATAGTTGCACAGGAATGTGAATATCCTTACTGCCTCTGAAATGTACACTCAAAAATGGTTAAAATAGGACTAGTGGTTACAAAGGGAAGTGGGTGGGGAGGGAGGGAGAAGGGGATTAAGGGCATTATGATTAGCATGCATAATGTAGGGGAGTCATGGGGAAGGCAGTACAGCACAGAAGATAAGTAGTGACTATAGCATCTTACTACGCTGATGGACAGTGACTAATGGGCTGTGGGGGGGATTGATAATACAGGTGAATGTAATAATCACAATGTTGCTCATGTGAAACCTTCATAAGATTGTTTATCAATGATAATTTAATAAAAAATATATATAAAAATGGTTAATAAGTTTTATGTTAAGTATATGTTACCACAATAATAAAAATTTTATATAAATCCACTTGCATGCACATACTTCTTGTTACGGAACCTCACTCTTTCCTCAGCTGTTTCAAATACTGGCAGTGATTGGTTGGCATGAAACCTTCTAAGGGTGCCAATTTCCATTCATAAATTAAATTCAAAGCTTAATTTAATGTTTTTAGTAAAATAAGTAAATAGGATATTCAGTATCTTTTCCTTGCATCCTAGTAGATTGTCCTTTACATCCTGGGTATGCACACCCTGCTGGAGAGAGACCACTGGGCTGCAGACCTGTTTCCTCATAGGATCGTTTGATGCAGTACTGAGGCAGTACATTGATAATCCTGCACACTGGACTCTTTCTCCAGCTCTTTCCCTGCCTGCATTGCATGTATTGCGATTGGTATTATCCTGACCTTGTGTTTTCACGCCCGCTCTCCCATTCCTAACCCAGCTCTGCTTTCTCATGCACATTTCCATGGCACTTTATGTGAACTTCTATTGTGATTCTCATCACGTGCATTTTAGTTATTTGCTTATCTATCTCTCCTCCTTCCTTTTTGAGTGGCATGTCTTGGTTATATACTATATTCCCAACACTTAACTATGGTACACAACATGCTCTCAGTAAGTATCTTTATCAGATTACTGGAACTAGAACCTAACGCAAACTCTGACGAGCTGCTCAGCGGTTCGTGATCTGAACTGCTGATGGAGTCTCCGTCAGCTCTTCCTCCCCTTCAGGATTTTGGTCAACCTTAGTTTCTTTCAGTAGCCCTAAATTTCATCTTTACTGCCAGCACAGCCCTTCCCTGTATCAGTATTTGGCATCAGGAACACCTGGGGCATGCATTATATTCATATAGTACACATCTTTCAGAATAGTTACTGCAACTGATCTTGCTGATATTAATTTGTCAAACATTTATCGATTGCCTGCTATGTGCTAGAAGCCCTGCTGAGGATATCACAACGAGCATTTTACATACAAGGGAACTGAGAAGTTGGGTGACAGGTATAACATGTTAATGACAGAACCGCAGCTAGATCTTCCGGCCTCCTGGCTCTCGGCCCAGTGGGCAGGAGGCAGTCGTGAGAAGAGTTGGAGTACTATTGTTGGGATGATGTGCGTGAGGGGTTTGCTTGTGATCGTTCTGACCTCTGCTTGAGTATTTTCAGTAATTGAGGAGCTCGGTCTCAAGAGGGAGTACGTTACATTTATTTAGACCATGTTGGAGTCTCATTCGGCATACCACTTGCCTGGTTCACCCTTCTTAGGGTGGTCAGGTGGGAATTCGATAAACTCAATTCAAGATTCTCTGGGAATGGATGGTTTGGAGAATTCTATGTGGGTTTCTTTAGGGGTCTCAGAGACAGAGGGTGGCTGGCTCTTGAGGGAGTTGGTGTACATCTTGGTGTGGCCTCTGCAGGATCAAGTCAGTATGGTGCTTGTTGCTCTGTGATTTGGTTCAGAAGTTGTTTACACAGAAGTGATATACTTCTGAGAAGGGAGCACATTAAAGATCTAAGAACAGGTTTCTATAAGCTCCTGGTTATGAGGACTTGGCATACTTATACTATGAGGGTATTTCTGTCTTAAGCAACTATTGGACATTCAGAATCAAACCACCCAGGCTTGTGGGGAGAGACGGCTGTATTTTTCCTCCTCCGCTTCTTTGATACTCCGTTGTCAACAAAGCCTCTGTCATTACCACTTCCCTTATGAAGAACAGAACCGATTAAGGTTCCCAGGAGTGCTGCTTATTTCATATTCACTGTTACCTGGGTAATATATGAAATCTATCATTCCATGAATTTTGTGTGGTTGTGCTAGTTAATATAATTTAGAAATAGCTTACTTTACCATCTTCACTTTGATTCCTGTAACACCCTCCATAAAGGACTACTAATGTGTTTGTTTTTCACTTGCACTAGCACTTTCTGTGGGCACACTAACTTTAGTCCCTGTTTTTTCTCCAGGGTCGTCTAGTAGCAGGCACCCAAATCAGGCAACTCCAAAGAAAAGTGGCTTAAAGAATGGCCAGATGAAGAATAAAGATGATGAGTGCTTCGGGGATGATATTGAGGAGATCCCAGATACAGATTTTGATTTTGAAGGGAACCTGGCTCTTTTTGACAAGGCAGCTGTGTTCGAGGAGATTGACACCTACGAGAGGAGAAGTGGTAGCCGCTCCAGGGGTATCCCGAGTGAAAGGCCTGCTCGGTACCGCCACGATGAGAACATCCTGGAGTCCGAGCCCATTGTTTACCGGCGAATCACCGTGCCCCACGGCGCGAGCAAGGAGTTCTGCACTGGTGAGTCGCACCGGGTCCAGGCCTCACTAGCTGTTCCTCCCTTGCTATCATGTCGGCAACAGGATGACCCAGGTTCGGAGTCAGAGTCTTACAGAAGCGATTAACTAAAGTGGCTTGGCAGTTGACCCATTAATTATTGTTTCTTGGGGATTGTGGCTAGTACAGCATCCTTCCTACCACCGCCACCGTGGTAGGGTCTGGTTTCTCTACCTGTCCACTTATATCCTGCATCTGGCAGGATCTGGTTTTCTGCTACTTAGTATGTTATGAATAACAACTAAAGGCATAAAGGCTGACTATCTAGGCTCACATACAGTAGCCTCCCCTTATCCATGGGGATACATTTCAAGACCCCTAGTAGATGGCTGAAACCACAGATAGTACCAAACCATATACTATGTTTGTTCCTATACACATATGCCTATGGTAAAGTTTAATTTATGAATTAGGCACAATAAGGTTAACAACAGTAAAAAAGAACAATTGTAAAAATTGTAGTAGAAGTTATGTGAATATGATCTCCCTCAAAATACCTTACTGTACTACACTCACCTTTCTTCTTGTGATGATATGAGATGATAAAATGCCTCCATGATGAGATGAAGTGAGGTGGACGCCATGGGCATTGTGATGTAGCATTAAGTGTTGTTGACCTTCTGATAGACCATAAGGCTCATCTACTTCTGGACAGCATTGAGAGCACGAAACTGAAACCATGGGTAAGGGGGTGTCTCTGTTACTGCCTGTACATTTTACCAGAAGTTCAGCTTTGTTTTACTAGTTATTTTGTGGTGTAAAAACCAGTTAGAGCTCAAAAAGATCATCCATCATGATCAAGTAGGATTCATCCCAGGGATGCAGGGATGGTACAATATTCAAAAATCCATCAACATCATCCACCACATCAGCAAAAAGAAGGACAAAAACCACATGATCATCTCCATAGATGCTGAAAAAGCATTTGACAAAATTCAACATTCATTCATGATAAAAACTCTCAATAAAATGGGTATAGAGGGCAAGTACCTCAACATAATAAAGGCCATACATGACAAACCCACAGCCAACATCATACTGAACAGTGAGAAGCTGAAAGCTTTTCCTTTAAGATGGGGAACAAGACAAGGATGCCCACTCTCCCCACTTTTACTCAACATAGTTCCGGAGGTCCTAGCCACGGCAATCAGACAACACAAAGAAATAAAAGGCATCCAGATTGGCAAGGAAGAAGTTAAACTGTCCCTGTTTGCAGATGACATGATATTGTACATAAAAAACCCTA